AAAACTCCTCCGTATTGTCCTTGACTCACCTGGCCATAGATTTCTCAATGTGTCCCTTTGCTTCCCTTATCAATTTTCTCTGACTTTTAGTTTCTGAAACAAATCCAAATCATTCATATTTTTCTGATTTAATTATTCCTACCAGATGATTTGACTGATAATTGTTTTCAATTTTATGTAATTGACATATATTACTGGTTTGGACTTCATTCTGTTTGCACATTAGAATTGTGATCAAGTCATGATCACTTGTATTTAAGCTACCATTAAGCAACCATGTGTTGACAGTGTCCCTGTTGTGCCCAGTGCCTGAGGAGCAGAGGTGGCTGACCTTAGCAGTCAGGAGTGTGGCTGCTGGTGTGGGCTGTAAGTACATGTTTTTTATTATCTATGTAGTTTGCTCCCCTTCTGACTTCACTCCCAAGCCAACCCCACCCAGACTCGGATGAGAGAAGCTGCATTCTGCCCATACAGCCAGTGGAGTTCCCCAATGAGGCACTCAATACCATGATGAAGCAGGAGGCAAAACCCCTTCCTTTTGCCTTAGAGATGTTAAATATCATTTAACTGAATAGTCAATTAACCTAGTGAATTCTTATCAGTTACTCGACTATTCTAGTCCCCAGGGGTGGGGCTGACTGCCAGTGTGCTCCGGCCCCACTCCTGAGGAGCCCCCTGCCACTCCATGCTGCTGCCTCTGATACAGAGGCAGCAGCATGGGGGTGCCAGGTGGGAGCTGGTGTGTGAGAGGAACCAGTTTAAAAACCAGCTCCCCTCACAGACCAGCTGCCTGTCACCCTGCGCTGCAGCCTCTGATACAAAGGCAGCAGTGCAGGGTGGCAGCAGCCCCTGTCCAGTGTGTAAGGTGGGGCTGAGCTGCTGGACCCAGTGCAAACTGGAACTGAGCCAGGCTGCTGGCCAGCCTGCTAAAAAATTTACTGGCAAGAGGTGGGGAGGGGGAAATGTGTACAGGCAGTCCCCGGGTTACATACAAGATAGGGACTGTAGGTTTGTTCTTAAGTTGAATCTGTATGTAAGTCGGAACTGGCTCCAGATTCAGCTGCTGCTGAAACTGACCGCCAGTTCTTACTTACATACA